GGCCAGCCTGGTCTCCAGAGTGAGTGCCAGGATAGGCTCCATAGCTACACAGAGAAACCCTAATAATAATAATAATAATAATAATAATAATAATAATAATTGTTGCACTACTTATGGTGTCTGTTCACAGAAATAAAGCACTACAAAATCTTTTTTCTCTCACTGATAATGCTGTATAGAAGTTACAATTCTTAGCATTTTCACAGGTTTACACATAAAATCAGGCATGTTTAGAAAATGCATAGTGAATTTTGGAGACGCCACTAAAAGTCTCACCAAGCATTGTGTGATGGTGGAAAAGAAAAATAGCAAAGAAAAAATTGTCAGTTATTATTATGAAGGCTGAATAGCTAATAATCAGTAGACTCCTATGTTTACTCTTGATTACTATGTCAGGTGAGTTGAAGAATGATACAGTAATTTGAATCACCAGGAATATAAACAAAAGATTAGAATTGAGGATACATGGTGGGCTAGTGATGCACCATGAGTAGAATTTGAATTACCTTCTGTACGTCTTCCAGGCCTTCAGTGTCAAGCAGAACTAGGGTGTGGCCTGGCTTCTGGGGATGAGGGACACACCACATCCAGATGCCCTTGGTATGAGACTGCACAGTGGAGCCCAGAGAGAAGCCTGAAGTGTGGGGAGGAGATGGGGAGATAAGCTTTACAATTCATCATAAAGTAAGTTGACTTCCTCTATGAATGTATCATTTCTTCTATTAAAACCCACTTATCCCTTTAAATGAGGAAGTAATGGGAGTATGGGAGGAACGACTGGGAAGACTAATTCAGAAAAGAACAAGTCCACTGGTGGACACTGACCATCCCATACCACCAGTGTCTCCGACTTTTTCTACTCCACTTTGCCTGCTGGATGCTCACAGTGGGAGTGGACCCAGGAGACTCAGCAGAGCTTTGCTGTTGGCACTCACCCTTCTGCTTTCCAGCCAGCTTGTTCATCAGGTAGGATTTTCCTGTGCGATAGAAGCCCACTATTGCTACCACCACCATAGGCTGATCGATAGTGGACAGTATCTTCAGCGCTTCTTCGTTGGGTACCAATTGCCGTTTAGAGTTCTCGATTAGGCATACTGGGCTTGGCATGTTGATATCTGAGGCCATTTCAACAGTAGCCTTATGGATGCAAGAAATGATAAAACAGGAAAAAGTGCTGTGTTGGTTTGAAGAACTCAACTCAATGACATGTGCTATTTCTGTAACTTGATTACCTTCTACACCCTCAGTGTGCATGTGTTGTGACTTGTATCTTGGGGAAAAGTTTGTGTCTTTCCCTCTTTCTTCAAAGTGTGATGTAGAACGTCTCTCTCTGCTTTTCATACCTGAAAGCCATTGCTTTTACTCATTCTCACTCTATTACTCCCATTTGTTAACCCATTCACTGTTCTCTTTACTACTTAAATACACTACATCTTCCCCAATCAGGGTCCTGCACGGCTCTCTTAAATCCATGATGTCAAAGGCATAGTGAACACAGTGTCTCTCCCTGCAATAAACACTGGAGGTTCATCAAACCTTCACAGTTGGTGCTGATATCAACTTTTACCCTTAACATAACCCAAGTGAAGATGAGCTACTGAGATTCACATAATTTTTAAAGTGGAAACAGAAAAACCACAAACCAGGGAAAACCTTCAATTGGTACAAGAGACAGAGACATCACAATGATACCAGATGTTAAGCAATTCCCAAATCCAAGGAAGCATGAAATGAATGTATTGTATTTAATGCCTTGAAAGCCACAAGTGCTACAGTCAGCAATATTTCATTAAAATTATTGGAAAATAGGACCATTTCATGATAAAAAAAAATTTCCACTAATTCACAGCAACTAAAATACAAAAGCAGGAAATTCTTGAAAGAGTAATATTATAGAGGAATAAGAGATGAGAAAGAGGAGAATGTGGAGAAAGAGCAAAGACAATTCCACATAAGAGAACACAGGTAGGAATACACTTCATGGAAGCAGCAAATGAGCCAAAGACAAATGACGACTTTTTAACCACCAAACACCCAACACTATGGAGAGGAGATAAGGCCTGTCAATTAACCCACTAACCAGAGAATCAAACAAAATCATTCAAAAATTTTAACTATGACCTTAAAAGCAAAGGGCCTTGATCTCAAAATTGAAAGACACAGACTGAATGACTGGACAAAAAAAAAAAAAAAAATCCAAGGTCCAGCTGGATAAGTGGCCTGACGGTTAAGAATACTCTTTACTCTTGCAGAGTTTGGGAATTCAGCCTACAGCATTGATGTCAGGCAACTCAAAATCATCGAACTCCAGCTTGAAAAGATTCAAAGCCCACTTTAGCATCTTCACAAACACACACACACACACACACACACACACACACCATGTACAAATAAACATAAAAAACAACAAAAATTGAACTTTAAAACCAGCAATGCTGAATTTGTTTTAAAAAAAAAAAAGCACTGGGGAACATTTCAGAATATTCAGAACATTTCTGAATAGAATCCCACAAGCATGGAAATTGCCCACAAACATTTCAAATGAGATTACTCAAAACTAAATTGATTCTGCACACAAATAGAGACTAGGAACAGAGTGAACACACAGCTGAGGCGTTGGGAGAAACATCTTTGCCAGCTGTACTTCAAAGCATAATATCTAAAACTTAAAGAACTATAAAAAATAAAGGTAAAGAAGAACACCAAGGAAACTATGAATACATGAATGGGAAAATTAATTGAACAGTCAATTCTCAAAAGAAGTACAAATGGCCAAGAAATATTTTGAAAGTGTTCAATATCCTTAGCCATCAGAGAAATGCAAATTAAAACTACTTTGAAATTCTATCTTATCTAGTCAGTGTGTGTGTGTGTGTATGTGTGTGGGTGCGTGCGTGCCTGCGTGCGTGCGTGTGTGCGTGTGTGTGTGTGTGTGTGTGTGTGTGCGAAAACACTTGTGGGTGCCTATGAAGGCCAGAAGAATGTGTGAAATCATTCAGAGCTGTAGTTGTAACAGTTGTGAACTGCCCAACTTGGGTGCTGGGAACCGTACTTGACTCAGCTAGAGGAGCAGCAAGTCCTCTGAACTGCTAGGCCAACTCGTGAGTACTGAGAGTTCTGATTTTTACTAGAGTTGTGACACCATAATACAGGGAAAAAGCAATAATATTGGACCAGGAAAGATGGCTGCAGAAACATTTATAATCAGAGTGGTCAGTGAGAAACGTGTCTGTTTTATATGCTCCAAGTTGCTCGGCTTTGTTTTTCAAGAGCTGTGCAAACTAGCACTGGTGTAGATGAGTTTGTGTGAGAAACATTAGGCACAAAGATGATTTAAGATGCATCCAGGCAAAGGCAGTGAGCCCTCAAGCACTCTGTGGACCCTGCTGGCTGGAGTCTATTGAGCAGAGTAGAAACAGTGGCATTGCTAGGATACCCTCCCTTCTCCCAGCAAACCGTGGATTCTAAGTGCACTGCTGACCCACATCCAGAGCACAACAGCCTCTTGAGGAGTGGTTATTACACAGGTGAACAGCAATGTCTTGGAAGCCTTTCCCACCCTGCTACCTTCACTCACCTGTAGCAGAAATCTGTCTGTTTGGGGAAGAAATCCTCTTAGGGGGGAGGCACTTGGCTTCTTCAGTCCCAAATCTGGATGCTCTGATTTATTCCTTCTGCACCCGGACTTTACTCCTCCAATTTCCTGGGAGGTCCAGAGATTTCACCAATACTTTCTGCTGAGGCAGGACAATAAGAGGTACTTCTGTAAGCATATTAATAAGAAAGAAAAGTGAAACTAAAATTATTCCGGACAGCTGAACCATCATTAACTTACAGAATCCTGGCAAGTGTTTGGTAACAGATATACAGTTTTTCAGAATTTTCTAGATGGAAGAATGCTAAGAAGCTGCTGATAGTTGGGGGTGGTGTAGGGATAGATTTGAAGCAATACCTATATCCCATTTTTTGGACACAATTTGAGAAGTGTAAGAGTAAGAATGTCCCTTATTATATTATTTTTGGGTTCAGTTAATTAGAACACTATGCTCACTGTGAATTTAACACTCATGTTGACTCATCTAAGACTGTAAGTGCTCTGAGACATTGCCCAGAATTTTGAATGCTGCAAACCTAGCCCATTTCCTAGTTCTTGACACTGGAGAAATAAAATGTGGTGATATGTTCTTTATGATCTAAAAAATCCACTGAAGATCAGAATGCAAAGCCAGCCATACTAGACAGCCATAGAAAAGGAGCAGAGCAAACAATTTTAATCCAAGTACTCAGGAGACAGAGTCAGATGGATCTCGATGTGCTCAAGGCCACACAGGGGTACATGAGAGTGAATAAGTCTAAAAGAGAAACAACTCATGCCTGTAATCCCAGGACTAGAGAGATCTATAAGAAGGAATCAAGGGTCTCATGCAACATTTAGTACTAAGTCCCTGGCATATTTTTCTTCTTTTTTCCTTTAAAAAAATTTTAACTTCCATCTAATTATTTTCTTTTTTCTTCATCCTTCATTGCATTCATTTGCTTTTCCTACATTTATTCGATATAATAACATACCTGAAGGATTGTGAGTAGCATATTTCAAAAACACTTTTGCACACCCATGTTTATTGATGTGCTTGTCACAACTGTCAAGTGATGGAAGCAACAAAAGAGTTCTGCAACAGGTTAATGGTAAAGGAGATGGTGCATGAATAGCAGTTTTTAGGAAAATGGATGGAAGTGCAGCTTATTGTGCTACATGAAGTAAGACAATTGTCTCATGTTTCCTCTCAAATACTGTATTTATTACATATACAGGTATATGATATGCATGGCATAGAAGCAGGATGGAGAAAGGAGGCAGATAGTTGGAGGAGGGAAGAATATAGCTGAGGGAGAGGAATCAGGGTCAGATAACAGAAGGGACAGAGACTGACAAATATCACGTGTTCATTTGAATTGAACACACAGGCAGGGTAGGGGGGGGAGAGAGGGCACAGAAGAAAATGACTATTAAAGACAAGAAAGAGGACCAGTGGGAAAAGAGGTAGACAAGGGATAAATATGTGTGTTGGGGATGCTGTCATAGTTGTTGTCTCCTTGACGCACACCTACATAAACTGGAGAAGAGGGGATCTTAACTGAGGGAATTCCCCCATCAGATTGGTTTGTGAGACTTCTTCAAGATTCATGATTGAAACAGGAGAAGCCAACATGCTGTGAGTCATGTCATCCCAGGCAGGTCAGTCTGAGATGTATGTGAGAGTTCAGAGAAAGCAAGGAGAACAGGCTATTAAGGAAGAAGCCTCCGTGGTCTTTGCTTCAGTTCCTGCCTTGAGTTCATGCTGTGACTTCCCTCAAAAGCAGGAGCATAGCCTGTAAGAAGAAATAAATCCTTTCCTTCCCTGAGTTGCTTTGTTCTATGTTTTATCACAGCAATAGAAAAGCAAATTGGAACACATATGATGATATATACCTATGAAAATGTTGAACAAACCCAGTAATTTGTATTTTTAAGCAAAAACCTAATAAAATATATTTTGAAACTGATTAAGCCACAGAATACAATTTTTAAAACTAAAAAATATTTTATTCTAAATCCTACAACATTTACCATGCCACAAAAAAAAATTTGTTTAAGGGCTCTGTTTCTGCTTCCATCATCTACTGGATGAAGGCTCTATGATGGCATTTATGGTATTCATCATCTCATTATAGGGGAAGGGAATTTAGGGTAGCCTCTCCACTATTGCTTAGATTGTCAGTTGGAGTCATCCCTGTGGATTGCTGGATGACAGTCTGCCAGTGGTGTCTGTTGGGGGGCCTGGGCTGTCTGTATGGCCTCTGGAAGTAGAAACAGTATGTATCCCTAGTGCACCATGGGCTTTGGGAGCCATTCCATATGGAGGGATACTCTCTCAGCCTAGATGCAAGGGGGGACCCCTCGGTCCTGCCCCAAATGATGTGACAGATTTTGATGATTCCCCATAGGAGGACTCACCCTGCTTGAGGAGCAGATGGGGGGCTAGATAGGGGAAAGTTGGGGGAATGAGATATGGGAGGGAGAGGAAACTGGGATTGTATGTAAACTAAGATAGTTTTAACTTGAAATATTAATTAAAACAGAAAAATGTAAGAACTTAAAAAAATTCTGTTGTCTAAGTTCAGGTAACAGTGTATACAACAATTGTTCTTTGCTATTTTACTGTAAAGTGGCTGTGCTTTAAACTGCCAGTGGCCCATCCACTAAGGCCATAGCCCGGTGGGAGCAATTCTGTTACTCAGACAATGGCTCTGTTGCTTCCAGTAAAGGAAGGTCTAACTAAATCTCTATCATTCTAATATAATTGGAGATTTAAAAACTAGGGTGAAAACCTGCAAGCTCAAGGAGCTATAACAGCAATTGGCCAATTTTCTATTTGCTGGTGTCTCCATGGAGTTGAGCATGTCTGTACTAGTTGGGACAGTGTGGAAAAACTACCTAATATGGCTACAAGTTTGATTATTATAAATTACTAACTACTTATCTGCACATCTTTTCATACATTACATATTTAATGAACCTCATAAGTACAATATCCAAGCAAGTGAAGAAACTAATACACAGTATAACAAAAATAATTTTAAATTTGTATCCATATACCAAAATCCATATCAATGTAAAATATTTGAGGTTAACAGATGGTCTTTTTATCCCATAATGCTAACCCCCCTCTAAGTGATGACAAACATCCATTACCCACTGAATGGCCTAAAACCACCCATCCTACCTCTTGAGAATGTGAGTATTATATTCTCTAGATGGCTTCCTGTTGTCTGTGGGCAAAGATATATTTTAGGGAACCTGAGAAAATTGAAATAACGATTAAGTTCTCAGAAAACTGACTGTAACATTGGTTGTTCAGTCTCTGTGCAATGGGGAAACAAAAGATTACGTACAGTGCTACCTAGAATATTCTGTGACCCCTGACCATTACAGTCTGCAGTCTTGAAGCTATTCTGGATGCAGAACTCTGAGGGAACCTCAACAGAGACACTCGGAGGGCTTGGATCATCTGAGCCACCCATTTTCATTAGTGTCTAGCCCTTTGCCCCGAAAACAGGCAAACTTTCAAAGTTAACACACATATCTGTAGTAACACAGGTATGTACTGTGTGTTGTACACAAGCCAGTCAGAGATATTTTTTACTTGACTTAAAAAGATTATTTTACATGTCAATCCCAGGTCCCTCTCACTCACCTCTTCCCCTGCCCCCTCCCAACTAACACACTACCTATCCCATATCTTTGTGCTCCCCAGGGAAGGTGAGGCCTTCCTTAGGGGGTCTTCAGAGTCTATCATATCCTTTGGGATAGGGCCTAGGCCCATCCCCATGCATCTAGGCTCAGGAAGTATCCCTGTTTGTGGGAGCACACCCATGATCATGGGGTCTGGATCAGTCCCATCCTGGTTTCCTAGCTTTCAGTCTAGGGACCAAGAGCTCTCCCTTGTGCAGGTCAGGTGTTTCTGTGGGTTTTTCCAGTCTAGACTGATCATAGCTTCTCCTTCTCTGCAACTGGATTCCAGTTCAGATCAGAGTTTAGCTGTGGGTGTCTGCTTCTACCTCCACCAGCTGCTGGATAAAAGCTATAGGATGGCACATAAGTTAGTCATCAATCTCATTATTAGTGGAGGGCATTTAGGTAGCCTCTCCTCATTGCTTGAATTGTTATTTGGTATCATCCTTGTAGATCTGCAGACATTTCCCTAGTGCCTGATTTCTCTTTAAACCTATAATGTCTCCCTCTATTATGGTATCTCTTATCTTGCTCTCTTCTATTCTTCCCCAACTCAACGTCCTTCCCCCCCTCATGTCCTCCTCACCCCTCCTCTTCACCCTTACTCATTCTCCTAGTTCCCTCTCCCCTCCCTCCGTACTCCCAATTTTCTCAGGAGATCTTGTCGCTTTACCCTTCTCCAGTGAACTATGTATGTCTATCTTAGGGTCCTCCTTATTTGGGCAGGTAAATATATGTCCCTAGGTTTATTACTTTATATTCATAGCCAGGATTTTCAAGTCTCCTCTAGTCAATTATGATATATATAAAACTTGAATTGATCCACAGCCTTTTGTTTCCTGTAGAAACAAAAGCATAATATCATTCCCAAAGCAATTCATTTTTCTGCTTCCATTTTAAATTGCATTTGACCCAGGACTGCATTCGATAAGCCCAGCTCTAGGAAGTTTGATGTCCTGAACTGTGGCAGGCATTTTTACTAAGCTTTTTGTTTCTATTCGATGTCTAGGCTGTTAAATGCTCTGCTCTATGACAGAGCTTCTTGAAGGAGTTGAAATTTATTTATTTATTTATTTACTCTCTTTTCTTTTAGCTTCCTCAGGCCATGTTGAAAACTCAGCACTGGTCACCAAAATACTGGTTTTTCTTAATTACAGTGGCTTCTCTTAAAAGTACTGGTAGCCCCAAACAAAGGCTCTGTTGCTGAAAGTAACAATACTTCTATCTAAACCTCGATCATTCTAATAAAACTGGATATTCAAGAGCTACCATGAAAATCTGTGAGCTCAGAAAGTTAAAGTAGCAACTGGCTAACTTTCTTTCTTTGCTGGTATGAGTCACTCATTATCATGTTTTTTCAAGGAGGAAAGGGATTCACAGAGAACATTTGTGGGGACTTTGTGGCACCCTAAAACTACAACAGCAAGAAACTGCATGGAATCCAGAATTGCAAATACATTTGAATAAAACCAATGCTTCTCCCTGCTATA